GGGGGAATAGAGGAATGGGGGAATAGAGGAATGGGGGAATAGAATAGAGGAACAGAGGAATAGAGGAATAGGGGAATAGAATAGAGGAACAGAGCTCCATTCTTACCCCCTCTGCCGGGATCAGCCCGGCCCTAGAGCTGTGAGCTCCCTTATCAGCCAGGCAGAGCACGGCTTTATCTCGGGGAGAGCACGGGGAACAACTCCCTTCCCTCGGGAGAAGGAGCAACGACCCCTCCCCGAGCTCCRAAAGCGTTTCTCCGAGGAAATGTGGCACAAGTGGCAATAAAACACCATTAACTTCTGGTTTGCCATCAGCAGACTCTGCACGCACTGAGCTGATGGCACCGAAGCCACCAGGAGGTCCCCAAAGTGACAAATGCCAGCACGGAGGGTTTTGGTTTTTTTTTGGAGCGGGGTTATTTGCAATACAAGCAGCCCTCAATCAATACAACTGTGCCAGGAACTACTCGGACACATAATGAGCAATTACTGTAACTGCCCGAACCTCGCAGCAGCTTCAATAGGCTCTGGAAAGAAAAGGGAGAGGAAGAATTCAGCCCTTCCGTGGAGAGGCAGAAGGAGCCCCGAGTGTGCCAAGGAAGTGCCATTTCCACCCTGCCTGGAGCCCTGCCCGCCCCGCTGCTCCTCGCACTCATTTCTCTGCGATCTGCACTCAACCATCACCTCTGCTCGGCCAAAACACTGCACATTTCACTGAAATTCCATTATTTCTGCTAACTCAGACCTTACAGCGCCAACACAGCGCCCAGAGCTTCATCTCTGACCGTGCAACAACAAAGAGAAGTGGATTTAAAGCGCAACTAAAGCAAAGAACTCCTCCAGCCCTCATTTATTTGGCAACCTTGAGCGAGMTGTTTGCACTGCAGTTCACCTTTCCCCTCCAGGCTCACCAGAACATCCTTTTCCAAGGATTTCCTTTACCAGGAATCCTCCTCTATCACCTGGAAAAGCCAGGCAGCACTGCAGAGCGAAGAACTGGCACCATTTTCACACGGAAAAGGGACAAAAAAAAATTATTCCTGGTTTTTGAGGGATCTTTTTTTAAAACAGCAAACCTGTCTGACCTGTACCAAGCCCATCACACCCTCGGGGCTGTGGTTTGAGTTTTGTGCAACCTCCTGAAGGAGGGTTTGACACCCCAAAAGCACCCGGAGCCTGTGCAGGGCAGGCAAAGGGCAATTCCTGMAGCTCTGGGGCTGCCAAGGGCTCAAATCCCCCGGTCTGAGGGAGCCACCGGGGCCAGAGGATTCCTGCTGGAACCCAGCACCCAGAACGGGCCTGATCCCTCCTTTCCTTGGCATTCAGGGGTCCCAAACAACCACTGGGACTTGCAGGGGACTCAGAAATAAAGRCTGAGTGTTCACAGCTCTGTGAAGATGCTCAGAGGCCCCTGGCACCCAGCCCTGGCATTCAGCCACTCAGCCCCACCATTGTTTTAAATCCCTTCACCCACAGGTTGTTGGTGTGACTGAACCATCCCTCACCGCAGCCTCTCCTTCCTCAGCTGCTTTTTCTCCTCTGCTCCAACCCGGAGTCACCTGAAAACCGGGATGTTTTCAAAACACTC